GTGCAGTTGTTGAAATGCGTGGGAGCAGAGTGGGTGTGGCAGTACCAGTTGCCAGACGACAGAGCCACCTGCAGCGGACTCCCAGCGTTGAGAGATAATGTTGTCGTGCAGATATAAACAGTGCCATTGCACCAAGTAGCCCTTAAGGGCAGGGGATGGGCTGGATACATTTTTGCCTTGAGGTCGGCTATTCTTCATCTTCCATTGTATGAGGGCTGATGTCTGGATCTTGAAGTTAGTCTTACCGAAGACTTTCCGGTGTCCGCGCTTCGCTGCCACAAGGAAATGCTTTGAGCGAGATGCAGCTGCGTTTTGCAATGCTTGAGCACTGCTTGCACGAGTTCTCATTGCATAGCCGACGCCAAAGGCCGTCGGCATTGGAGTGGACTGGCCAGGGGCGATGCCATATGTCGAAGTTGTATTGATGAGGGTGTTCCAGCCTTCGGGCGCCTGTCCATCAGGGGTCTTAAAACTCAACATCTAAGTTAATGATGCGTGGTCGGTTCGAAGAATGAATTTCCGTCCCAGGAGATAATGACGATAATGGGTTATGGCCTTGACAATGGCCAACATTTCGTAGTTGCGTTCTGGCTTCGTAAAAACCTTACTATAATACTCAATGACTCGCTCATGCCCGTCTTGTTCTTGCAATAATACTTCACCGGCTGCCGAGGCGCTAGCGTCGGTGTCAAGGATGAATGGTGTCGTGTCATTTGGGATGGCAAGAGTTGGTGGAGAATAAAGGCCTTTTTGAGTGTCTCGAATGACAGTTGGCATTCTGGAGACAAGAAAAACGGGACCCTCGTTTCTGTCATCAAGTACAAGGGCTTGGTGATGTGGCCGAAACTAGAGACAAATCTTCGGTAGTACGATGCCAGCCCAATGAAGCTTTGAACCTCAACGGTGGATCTCAGGTTTGGTGACTCAACAAGGGTGGAGAGTTTCTGAGGATCCGTGAAAAATCTGTCCGTCGAAATAATGTGCCCGATGTATTCAACCTGCCTTGTGCACAGCGAACACTTCTTTGGTGGTACAGCTCGGTTTGCCTTCACCAAAACTTTTTTCTGGATTACAGAGGTTGTTGCGCCGGTATTGACAAGTGCGCGCACTGGTACACCGTCGGCGACGCTTTGGGGGTGAATAGAAGTCAAAGATGAAGCCAAGACGCGCGTTGACGCGACTCTTGGAGCCATTGTGGTCGAGGTCCGGCTACCACGCAGACCAAGGTCGTGATTCGGGCACTGCGACCGCGTGTGACCTTACTGGTGGCAATTCCAGCAAATGGGAGCTGGAGGTGTTTGCGTCTTTATAGCGACAGTTTGCGGTTGCATGAAGGACTCCACACGCGTAGGTCGGGGTGCCTGTCGGGCAGCCTGTACCTCCAAGGCACAAGTGGGTGCTACCCGCAGAGTCTCAGGGGGTGCAAGGCGAATCGCATGCCGTACCTCAACAGACGTCACCTTCGCTACAATAATATATTTCTTTTCCACCACATTAATGAAGGAGGCTGGATAAAAAAGCAGGAAAACCAACCTGGCGAGCGCCCCCCCCCCCCCCCCCCCTCCCCTCGATATTAGTAAGGTGTTTGGTTTATAAACCATCAAGGCTGACTCACACAGCCCCCATTTTCTTGCGTTACGTTAAGGCTGATTTACATATTTGCGACGGTTGCGTTCGCACGTAACCGAGATGCCGGCAACGACCAAAACACCACAGCGATCATTACTCATGGATTGCTTCTCCAAGCTACCCCATGCATCGCTTGCCATGCTGTGTACGGCGAACACTTGCCCCGGTGACTTTGTCGTTACGGTCGTTTCGGTTGCATGCGAACACAACCAACGCAGACGTGTGAACCAGCCTTGAAGGCTGGTTCACACATCTGCGTTGGTTCACACGGACCTGCTTTCTTACGTTACGTTACGAAAGCTTATCTCAAAGGCACCGGGAAATCTGTGCTTCGTATTAAGCGTGGCTACCAAGTCAAGGACGTAGCCTGGCACGCGACATTTTAAACACGAATGTTTCGGTGACGACGAGCTAGGACGGTGAGTTACCGTGGCAATCAAGGAAACGAGGCTCGTCGTAACGTAACGTAAGGAGTTGAGCTCGGTTCAACTTTTAAAACTGGTTCACACAGCACCGTTTTCTTACGATACGTCTAAAGTCACCGAAACATTCGTGTCTCGAATGTCGCGCGCCAGGTATACCTCCTCAAATTGGTAGCCACGCTTGATATGAAGGACAGATATCCCGGTGGCTTGTGGCGTAAGCAGACGTAACGTAACGTAAGGAATCGGGGCTGTGTGAACCAGCCTTTACTTCACGAAAGCTTACGTCTGCTTACGCCACAAGTCACCGGGACATCTGTGCTTCACATTATAGGCGCGGCTCCCAGTGCAAGGAAATGGCCACGGTGTAAGATAATACTCTTCAGGTGAGGACAGCGCGCTCCTCGCGACGTGCTCGAAAAAAGTTCGCTCTTCACTCTTTTTCACTATGGTTTCAAGCGGCGCCGGCAGGTGACTCGTCGACCCGTGGGCACGTACAAGACGGCTCGTGCCGCCTCATGTACCACACGAGCAGAGCTCCAGCGAGGTTGTCGCACGTGCAGAAAGACCACGGTGTACCGGGGTGTCATGGCAACGAGATAATTTGTTTCGCTCTCTCACAGTTTCACCGTTTGGCCGCCGGCGACACTGTCAGCCGCGGGCACGGTGGCAGCGGAATAATGCAGCCTTTCGGATGCCCGTCGAACGAACACTATCTGATTCCTCGCGCCGCGCGTTCAGCCCCGCCGTGTCCTCACCTAAAGAGTGTATCTTACACCGTGGAAATGGCCTAGCTGGCACGCGACACTCGAGACACGAATGTTTCGGTGACTTATACGCAACGTAAGAAGACGTAAGAGGACGTCGCTGTGTGAACCGGCCTTCGCACTGTTTGCCAACAAGTTCGCGTTGGCCCCACACTATGTGTTGGGTGGTGCACGTGCTCAGAAACCATATTTGCGTGCGGTGAGGCGTCTGAGCATGGATCCTGCATGGTAGAGTGCCTTCATATACAGACTCGCGCTTTTGCTTGAGTGGTGACATCTCAGCCATTTTTCCGCCCAACAGTTTTTTTATGCATTTTGAAGCGTGCGCAATCTGGTGTCTTTCAGCTCGAGCGCGTCGCTTTGGCTAATGAATAGACGCCATTTTACCTCCCAAGTCACGCACCGAGCGCGCGAGAGCGTCACGCGCTGGCACATTCAGGGCAACAATGGATGTCTTCACCCTCAGACAGACAGACATGTAGGCACCCTAGATCCTGGCCGATTACAGCGCCACCACTACGACGTCACACCCGAGTTGCGCGTTGGTCTATTGACGACGTGAGCGGTCGAAAGCGTCGCTGTGATCGGTCTTCCACGATAGGCCGAAGGCTGACTATGACGTCAGCACAGGATTTCCCATCGACGGAAATAAGAGGAATTGAAGAACTTCAATTTTGACGGTGTTCGCAGTGTTGGTTTGAGAGTGCTATGATTTCAGGCTTCCACCAGGGTCTTTACAAACACCTTTAAACTTGTTGTTCACAAGGTAATGACGTCACGATAGGTAACCATAGGAGGGCGCCAACAAAACATCTCGCCGCCAATAGACAGTTAGACAATGCAAAACTATGTCTTATTGTTTTTTGTTTTTTGTTTTTTGTAGCCATGTGCGTTTACGCACTGTGTCTGCAGGGATTTGTGTAAGGAGAGTTATTTATTCGGATATCTAGAAACCTAAATAAGGGTAGGATAGAATAGAATTGAATGAAATAGTTTTATTTATAAGCATATAGATTTTCAACATACGTCTAGGATGTGACTTATGTACGAAGTGCGGAACTTCTTTGCCAAAACCAGTGGAAAGCTTTCCGTGGCGGTTCAGAGAAAGCCAGTGTTGGCTTGGAAAGTTCTCAACCCCAACGAATTCAAAACGGCTAAAAAAAAAAGGTTAACAAAGTGTTTGAAAGTATGACACGCGAGACATGAACACTGGCAAAATGGCCATTCAAGCCTGTAGCCAATTTCTGGAAACAACATTTCTGGGTATTTCTTTTTCTGTTGTTGTTTTTGACCCTATTGGAAGAAAAGCCGCCAGGTGGACAGGGGCGGCGTATTGACGGGACGTGACGGATTCTAACCGGACCGTTGCCCCACTTTTGAGCAACGGACGCCTGGTGGGGTAAACACTCTTTCCCTCTTTCTTTTTTTTATTTTCTCTCTTTGTCTTCTCTTTCTCATATCACCTCCCTCCGCCACGAAAACAAGAAAAATAGAAAACTTGCACACCACCCCAGTTGACTTAGTTCGCGCCGACTTCGATAGATGGCAGCACCATCCATATTCCTCGGGGACTCATTGATGCAGCGAAGCCGGTGATCCGTACGGAATCAAAGACGTTCACCCGGTTGCATTATGGCGCCTTTTTTATTCCCATTTCTTTATTAATATTATTGACATTGGTGAAAGGCTTATCCGTAACTTCGCTTAAATATATTGCGTTTAAATTAGCTGTCCAAATATTAAAAGCCAACCAGGTGGCGACAGTTGCCGCCCCATGTTACCCATATACCGTTGTCCTTTGCATAAGTTGTTTCCGTACATCCCTGACGCGTCCTTAATTTGTCTCGCTTAATCTCGCGAAATTCTGAGAACAAGCTTTCCTAGGTAAAAGAATAAGCCTTTCTGATTTTATTTTGAAAATACATGGACGTTTCATTTTTACGACCGCATTCCGGATTTTTTTTTCCTGAAAATTGGTTTGCTGGGACAGTATACTCCAATAATAATTGTCCTTAGCTCGTTAGGTATCTTATCTAGTGACCTGAGAGTCCAGAAGCAACTAGGAAATCGGTGAGCTCTTCGTTCGTCCGTCCGATGTGTATATGCATTTAGATATATGTTGTTTTGATTTTACATATCAACAAACTGTTTACGAACCAGCCCGCGTTTGCCCGCACTGCGCGTGCGCAGTGTACATATACTCAAATTAAAACGACCCCGAGAATATTAGCATGGCCCCTGCGCAAGGATGGCACGTAAAATCGTAAAGCGTTCCACATCCCCCCCCCCCCCCCCCCCCTTCTTGGACCTACGATCGCCACCGCGAAAACCCAAACCATCAAGTGCAACGCCATTTTATTTCAAACACCTTATCTGTACACGCATACATCAAAACGGGCTGACGAAGGATAAGGTTCCGCAACGTAATTCCGAACCCTCCGATCGCCACACGAGATCCCTTACCAACTAACAGCCACTTTCGCTCGTGCCTACTACTTTAACAACTTGTTTTCTCAGTCCAAGTTAGTTAATCGATAGTATAGTTTTACGTATAGAGAGCCTAGATTACTCGGACCATGGTGAGCGTTCGGCACTTTTCGAAAGTTCATGGAGCAACATTGACGGTCGCCATTTTTGGGGGCACGAGGCCCGTGATTGGATCCGATTCCTCGCCGAACAATGAAGTAACACTCGTTCCCGGTACGAGTTTAACCGAGTTCATGCCGAACAGTGACGCAGTTGTTCTGTCCAATACATGCTCGGAGTGCGTGCCCAAATAATGTCGGACTGAAGTAATTGACATTAAACTTTCTAGATGGCGCGCACTTCTGAAAAAAAAAAAAAAATTTATACACACTTCCAGGTTTCACAAACATGTTGGCTGGAACTTGCAAGTGCGCATGCGTTGCGTTGTCGCAGGACGAGAAGGAAATCGGCGGAGGAGACGCTTGCAGACGATCAGCACTCTCGTAGGCTTAACCTCCCTCTTGTTACAAACGCGGCACATAAACCACGTGTCGCCGATCGAGCGGTTGAAAACACTTTGAAACCTAAACATTCGGTGACAACTCGAAAACGAAGCGGCAAATCTCCCCCTCAAAGGGAATGGTAGCCTTGCGCTATCAAACCAATCGCGTCCAAGCGTTTCTGTGCCGTCATGACTTTGTGAACCAATCCCGTTTTGTTTGCTTTTTTCGATCGTTAGCACAGAGTTGCGTTAGCAAACTTCGTCTGCATGTCTGCTGGCTCTATAGGTGATAACCTAAGTCTGCCTGCCACCCCTCACAGCAGTATTTATTCCTCTGTAAAACGGCACCCTTGCCAAGTCTCTTCGTCCCGATCAGTCGCACGGTGAGCAATGAGTGCTATGCGGAGAGCGAGTCGTCTGCATCTTGAGCAGGAGACGCGGTGACGTCAGAACGATGCCTTGCTCTGATTGGCTTTGATTGAAAGGATAGGAGGTAGGCCTCAATGCTAGATGCCTTAAGGTCTACCCACTATTTATTTATTTATTTATTTATTTATTTATTTATTTATTTATTTATTTATTTATTTATTTATTTATTTCGATCAGTTTAGCGTTCTGACATCATCGCAACGCCTGTGCAAGAAGCAGACGAACTCGCGCTACGCATAACAAAGCTCTCTTCGACGTCGTCGCAAACGTTAGCGAATTGACCTTCGAGAAGGTTGTAGAATATTAACAGCGCCAAATTAAACGGGCGACAAGAAGACGAGGTACACTGAAACAAAAGTGCCAAATCTCACGTTCAAAATTTGAGAATTCTGGGGGAAGTTAGACTTGGCTCTCCACAATTCTACCGTACATTATGCTTGTTCTTAGAGTACCTATCAATCGTAGTAATGACTATATAAATCCTGTTTATGCCACAAAACAGCGCGGTTTAGAATTTGGGCCCTTCCTCAAAATCTTCAGTTTAGCTGGCACCTCACTTTCTCCCCCTCTCCCTTATTCAGGCCGACATGAAAAAAAAAAAAAAAACCTGGCCCTGAAAAAGAAACAAAAATGAAAGCCGTTCACAACTCCCTGTAACGCCGAACTAGAGCGCAGCTCTTGAGGAGGAGGAGGGAAGGGTACTGAGGGGAGGGTATACCCCTCTTCCCCACCTCCTCATCCTGCTTGTTACTCCTCCCTCCGAGCGGCGTCGCCGTCGCCGTCGGTCACGTGACCCCAGGGGCGGATCCAAAAGGGGGGGGGGAACGACGGGAGCGGCCCCCCCTCAAACAAAGTCGACCCCCCCTCCCCCCTTCTCGGGGGCAATTTGACATGGGTGGACCCCCCCAGTGCACAAGAAAGAATGGGAGAATAGTATCCTTACAAATCCCCCCCGCAACGGAATTCTGGATTCGCCCCTGCGTGACCCTGGTGACGTCATGTGACCCCGTGAGTTCACGTGACCTAACGGGGGTCACGTGACCTCACGGTTACGCCGACGCCGCTCAAGTCGGAAACGGGCGCCTAAGAGCTGCGCTCTAAAATATATCCGGGCTACAGCACCGCCTCAGGCCCCGCAGGAAGTGGCCCAGTTAGTCCAGGTGAAAGAAGTGACTCCGAACCCTGACGCACCTTCTAAACCTCTTGGCTAGCCGACTCGAGGCACTGCAACAGAGGAAGTAACCTCTGTAAGGGACTGGTCCTAGTAGAACCACAGAACTTCCAAACCGAGGAACAACTCTATCGGTTCCGAACCGGTTTCAGAAGCCATCTAAGCACTCGAGACAGCCTTGCCTTACTTCGCAGCGATATCGTCAGCAAGGAGGCCTCCAGCGAACCTTAACCGTTTTAACTCCCTGAAGTGTCCTAAATGAATAGTAGGCTAAGAGGCATTCTTTTTTAGGGCGAAAAGCGACCTCTGAAGGGCGCTATTTTCTCAACGGCGGAAGCACTTCAAACGGGCGCATTACGCCCGTGGGCGGAGCTTCTCCACCGTTCTTGACATGTCACCGACTGTAAGCGCACGAGTTTTGCATGGGCCGCCGGTGGCGCCACCTGACAAAGCGCAGCGGCTGACACGCACCAATATTTCTACGTGAGCACACTTGAGAACAGAGGGTAAACAGAGACGCTTATCGCTCGTCCCGAATGCGGTGCTCCGGGGAATATTCCCGGCCGCTGATCAGGAACGGGACCATTAGCGATCTGTGGACTCTGATGGCGCTGTGTTCGCTTTCCTTCCCGTCCTTTGTTTCCTCCGGTCTATCGAGCTTCTTCCCTCTCACCCCGCCTCATTTTGTTTTTCCTTTTTTGTGCCGGATATTGTGAACTCCGCTTATTGTCCCGACCGGAGTTGCCGAACGTGCGAGCTTCTTTTTACTGGCGTAATCTACGACCGGCTAAAATGCTGCTTCTAACCGGGTGGAATTAGATCCAACTTAGCCTTTTACTTGACCCTTGAGGTCTTGCGTTTAGCCGCTGCATCAGCTGCACTTAGAGCCGAAAAGGGAGGCCTGGATAAAAGCGTGGCCGCGAAGCTCGACACTGATTTGTTGACGGGTTGGGGAGGAGGAGTGAGGTGCTCGACGCTGATTGGTTAACAGGCAAGTCATGTGACCAGGGGTGAAGTGAGGAGGAGAGGTAGGCGAGGAGGGGTGGGTTAGAACTTGGAAGGTTCTGGAAGGTCACGAAGTTTATCATTTCAACTGTACACATGCCACGCGTTAAATTACCTCATATCTTTTTTTAGCCTTCGCTCCTGTACATTTTAATGTGAAGCAAAGTAGAGAAGCCGCTTATAGCCGAGTCAAGCTAGGTTCTTCCGTCTGCCCCTAGTTATAAGCGCGGTGATGGAAGTGCCACCCATTTGCGTCAAATTGCCCCATCAACTGCTACATCTTGCGTCATAGTGCCATTTTTGCCAAGAATGTCGGCACACCTGCGCCAAGATGGGCTTAAGCAAAGCAAAATATATATATATTATTATTGCTAGCCGCTAATATTCAAAGAAGTAGGAAGCTAGGAAAATATTACGAATATGTATCTCGCAGCGTTTCTACTCACCGTATTAGTTTGTTTTATCTCAGGTCAGAGGACAATCGAGGGCTCGAACACACCTGCTGAAAGCGCAAGTCACTGTACAGTCGCTGCACTCGACTGGTTTCGCCGATGAAAGATCGCGTTCAGGAAGATGGACGAATGCCACGCGTCGCACTTTGACGCTGTTCGGGTTGGTCCCATTGACTCTTAGCATCAGCAGCTCTTTAAGTTAGGTCAAACAAAGTATGTGCCGAGAAATTGAGGTAGAAAAGCAGACGAAAGAACGCGGTGATGTCAGAACGCCGATCTCTGATTGGAATGATTAGCGGAATGATTAGCACTCGTCGAATGCGAGAGCAAAACGGCGGACGATGGCGTTCTGCGTTCCAACGCGTTCGGCGAGTACAGTGGAGACAAAGGCAGCTATAGCTCTAGGTCTACCCTCTAATCATTCCAATCAGTGATCGGCGTTCTGGCGTTCCTGCGCGTCCTCTCGTCTGCTTCTCTACCCCAGTCTCTTGGCGCATAAAGATTGCTGGTTAACCGCGTTGGCCGGTTGATCGCCGACATCGTCTAAATTCTCGGACGATGTCGGCGATGCCAGTAACTATAAAAGTCGCGAGAAAACGGTTCAGAAGAGTAAGGATGACGGCTACTGTAATAAGAGAGAACCAGAGCTTTCACCGCTTTGCACCGGAGTGTTAGGAGCAGTGGCTGACTTGGGTGAGCGCCTGGATTAGCGCGAAAGGCTCATAAAAATTAAGCGAATACTATAAACATTTCCGCACAAAAAAAAAAGGCTCTTAGCCGGTTTTATTTTAGATGTTTGTGCTTATGACACGTGATTTGCTTGCTTTCCGAAGCGACGAACATGCGCTTACTGGGCTGAGGAGATCGCACGCTTGGCTGAGGGCTTGTAAATGTTGGAATGGTGTATACTCTGCAGGTTCTACCTTCTTCGGTCTTGATCTTGGAGCTTCGTGACTATGCATTTCTGACGTTCTTGCACTACAATATAAGTAAACATTTCAACAACAAAAAAAGAGTCTTTCAAAAAGCGCTGCACGGGTCAGCGGGAATGCTGTTTTTTGGCAGGTATTTTAAGGAAACTATATTTACAGGTTGAATGAACTACCGGGTGTAAAAGTGGGAGGGGAGGGAAGCTTTATCCCAACTGAAGCCTTGCGCTGATGAATTTTTCGGCATCTTTAGTAGCCGTTGTAAATGGGACCTACTCTGAACGGAGAACTATTTCTGAAGAGAGTGTTCTGAGCTCCTTTTGCACCCT